ACACAGGTACAAGGTCAGGGGAACAAACACACACAGGTACAAAGTCAGAACTTCCACCTCTTGGAGGCTCCCAACGAGCCTGCACTGAGCCATTGATCAAACTCTCAAAGTTTCTAAGTTTGATTTCAACAGAACCCCCTGGCTCTCAGCTGTCAGCAGCAGTAATTGTTCTAATGAAGGTGGTGTACTGAGATGGTTTTAGGTTTGACAGATTCCACAGCACCTGCCCTGTGCACCTGACCTCGTCAGGGTCATTGTCACGCTGTCCATCCCTCCCAAAGAGCACCTCCAGCACTGCCACTGCTCTCAGCTGACCCTTCCTCAAGGGAAAACTCACTTTTCTCAGCTGACCCTTCCTCAAGGGAAAACTCACTTTTCTCAGCTGACCCTTCCTCAAGGAAAAACTCACTTTTCTCAGCTGACCCTTCCTCAAGGGAAAACTCACTTTTCCCAGCTGACCCTTCCTCAAGGGAAAACTCACTTTTCTCAGCTGCTCCTTCCTCAAGGGTGTTCCAGCACATTCTGCTGGTGCTCCTGCATTCCCTCTCTGTGGACAAATCTCTCTCACACTCATCAAAAGTTGATCCCAGAGTGAAAGGAGATCTGGCTCCCTTACAAATACCTGGTCCACACCTGAGTCCTGGCTCAAGGCTCCCAAATTCCTGGTCTCAGTACCCCAGCTGCACACCTGTACCCAGAAGGTCCCAGACCTGAAGCAGCCAGGTTGTATAAACCTCCCACCCCCTCTGTACAATGGAATTTTGCAGATTACAGAGACTTTCATACAACAGGGACTCAGTGGTGATCTCAAGCTCTGGCTCCCCTGCTGGTTGTGGGGGCCCTCCTTTCTTATCCTTATTAACCAGGTGCTTTGTTTTCATCTTAAATTTCTTCATTTCCACAGGGGTGGCTGCTGCTGGCTGTGAGTGCCCTTGTGCTTCAGCTGGAACCTGGACAGGTGTAACATCTGTGGCTTCCACTGCTGCCCCATCAGACCCTCCCTCTTTAGGGCAGAGCCCCGGGGAGCCCTGCTCTTCAAAGGCCACAGAATAATCCCCAAAATGAGCTCCAGCTATGGCCACACCAAGGCTGGGATACCTGGAAAGGCTGAGCTGGAACAGAGACCAGGCAGAGCAAAAGGAATAAAACAGGAATTTATTGAAAGGATTCACCCTGGGCAGTGCAAGAGCCTGGCCAGGGCTACACCCAAATTAAATCCCACACAGATCCTGGTCACAAAGTTTTAGACTTTTATAAATTTTGGTCCATCTACATATTGGGTGAATTGTCCAACCACAGCCCCCTGGCTTCCCCCTTCCCTTTGCCATTGTTTCAGCTTTTTGGGTACTGGGTGTCCTCGATTCTCCAGCTGGGCAGGGATTGTTTTATCCAATTCCCCTGTGAAGAGAACTTGCTAACACCTAATATGAAGTTTCAGAGTTACACACCAAGCAGCACAGATTCTGAAGAATATATCTGAAAGAATCTGAAAATAAGCTAAAACCCAAGGCATCAACTGCTCACTTCAACGAGTTCTGTGGCACAAGCAAGAGGCAGCTTGAGGGTCTCCCCTCTGCTGGTCACCCCAACTTGGGCCCCCCTGAACACAAACTATTCCAGAAAAAACATTCTGAAAAGCAAATTCATCCTCTAAGCCACTGTTTTCCTGCATAAACCAGTCACTGCTCTCAGCCAAACCAATTTTTAGACAAAATTCCAAGCCAGCTCAAGTTGGACCAGGTGTTGAGCCAGGTAGGGTTGGTACCAGCACGTTCCAAGGTTCAGCAAAGCACTCCCTGCTACACACAGGAGTAACTTGGGGCTGGGTTTAGGACAGCACCAATGTGAGCTGAACATGCTGAGTGCTCCCAAAAAATGCTCCTTGCTGCCACAGCAGGTGTTACTGCAGCTCTGAGAAACTCCCTGAATGACCTGAGCACTGGAACAAGTGTCCAAGGAGAATTCTGAAAGCTCTTTTGGTAGGGCCAAGCCCTCACCAGGCTCACCTGCCCTGGAGCACAGCACAGCCCTGCAAGTCAAATCTCACCCTTTCATTTCACACAGAATTATACACGGAATTTACATACATTTACATAGAATTACATAAAGAAATTCCTCCCTGTGAGGGTGGGAAAACCCTGGCACAGGGCCCCAGAGAAGCTGTGGGTGCCCCTGGATCCCTGGAAGTGTCCAAGGCCAGGCTGGACAGGGCTTGGAGCACCCTGGAACAGTGGAAGGTGTCCTGGTGGCACTGGATAATCATTAAAGTCCCTCCCAACCCAAACCATTCCCTGATTCTATCCATTATCAGCGTTTCTATTCATCTGAAGCCATAAAAACGAAATAATTTAAAAACACATCCGTCGAGCACCACGGCAATTTCTAAATTCCAATTTCTCTGATTATTTGGGTTAGACACAGGGTCCTGTTTTTGCATCAGCCACACCACAAATGACAAAAAAAAAAATCAAAGTCAGGGGTGCAGGGCACAGGTGAGGACGAGCTCCCAGAGCCCCCAGGCTGCCCTGGCAGGGTTTGCCCCATCCCTGGCACGAGAAGCAGAGCTGGCAGCAGTTGGTTCCCCCGAATGCAGCCACCCACAAATGCTCTGCAGCTCCGGCTCCAGGAGCAGCCACAGCAATCTTGCATTTCCGAGCTGCTGCTGCTGCCTTGTCAGGCTGTTCTCACTCCGGGAGGAGGCCAAGGCAGGAGAGGGATGACAGGAAAACCCTGCACTGATGCAACAGCACTGCAGTGCTGCAGGCTGGAAGAGAACCCAGCCCTGCCACGCTGCTCGGGGAGGGACCCAAACACCAAATCCAGGAGGAAAAGGCACAAAAACCACGAGGGTGTGGCACAGAATGAATCCCAAAGCTGCCTGGGATGAGGTCTCTCAAGCGAGGGAAAAGACAACCAGGGAGGGCAGAGCTTTTAAGGCAACACAAAGACGGCATCCAAATAAATATTAAAGATCTGGAGGAAAGAATGACTTTCAGATTCCTTGGAGACTCTGACACGGGGCTGAATTGTGAAAATTCTGCTATTTCAGCAGGAGGCCAAGCAGCCCCAGCCTGCCCAGGCCGGGAGGATTGTGCTGTATTCACGTGGGAGGAGTTCAGGGAAGCCAGAGCCGTCACCAGAACAGAACCACAACTCCCTGGAGTGCAGAGGGGCTTCAGGAACGAACACCCCATAAATATCCGAGCAAAAATACCCGGAGATCCCTGCCCTTAACACGGATTTCCAAAGCTGCAACACCCAGTGCAAAATATTCTGAGGGATCTCGGGTGATCCCTGGCAATTGTGACACAACCTTTTACACCACACACCAAGGGCCTGGATGATGTTTCCAGCTCCAGGTTTTATTTGGAGATCCAAAAAAACCTGGAGTACAGATCTCCCTCCTCCTTATGTAATTCCAGAGCACAGCAGGGCCAGGATTCTCTTCCTATAAACTCGACTGGGTATTTCTAGAGTAATAATAGTAAAGATTCAAAAAAAAAAGATGGCAAGAAGGGGAGAGAAGAGCCAGTATCTTGGTCACATTATCTCTGAGACATCACCAAATGGCCTGCTGATATTAAGGAAAATTAATTTATTCTATTCTTGCAGCATTTGCATGCATTTAATTACCAAATTTCCCACATACTGTGAAACTATAGAGCAGCATTGGGGATGTGGTCTAATTGAATGGCACAGATAAATATGTAAGGCCTGAATTTAGAAACCAAAGTAGCTCAGGGACACAGCATAAAAAAGGGAAAAAAAAATGAAGGCATGAAGGAATTTGTGCAAAATTACACAACCCACAACTGGAGGCACCGACTCAGCTGAGTGGCAATTTAAAGGAAAAAGCACAACCAAACCCAACAAACCAACACCAGTCCCCAAATCTGGTTCACAGCTGCACAACACAAATCTCTCCACGTTTTGGCATTCTGGAATTACTTACAGAGCTGTTTCTTGTGCACTATCAACACATGACAGTGACCTGAGGGTCTCACTCCTTGGGATGTTCTTGCCTGTCCTGACTTCATTTCTTTTCCCAATGAATTACTGGAATTCTGGAATTACTTACAGGGCTGGTTTTTGGGTACTATTAACACATAAGAGTGCCCTGACTCCTCGGGATATTCTTTCCTGTCCTGACTTCATTTGTTGTCCCAATAAATTATTAAGGTAATGGACAAATTAAAGATGTGTGGCTCCACTTCACCCTCATCAAGGAACAATTTCCACAACTGCTCTGGTCTGGCACTGCTTCTGGAAGCTAAAAAACCTCCTAAATGTCATTTTCCAACAGGAATGGTGCTGCTGGGGTTGATGTGGATAGATCCTAGGATTTATTTCAGCCCTTCTCACATCAGGGTTTTCAAGAGAAACGTTCTGAAAATTGTGACACGGGCTCCAGGTGAGTTATGGAAGAGGGTGTGTGGGTTATCCATGGATACCTGCACTGGGAGTGACACTGCACTGCTGCTCCCAGCCAGGAATTCATCC